TGCTTTCGATTCTGTCCAAGGGGGGGAGGGCGCCGCTAGATGATGGTGGGGGAGGAGGGAAGGGGGGAAGGGGGAGAGGGGCGGCGGAAATGGCAGCGTAGCAAGGTAGGTTTTATATTTAAATAAACGTCAACTGAAGTGTTAGAAACGGAAGATTTGCATATGCATACAATAATTTGTTGCCTTTTCTTACGTTAATTTGTGCTCTCTGTCTCTCATTACCTTTTTTGTTCGTCTCTCTGTTTGTATCTGCCACTCTCTCTCTCTCTCTCTCTCTCTCTCTCTCTCTCTCTCTCTCTCTCTCTCTCTCTCTCTCTCTCTAACAGACCCTCCCTTCCCTTTCCCTCCCTCCCTTCCCCTTCTCCCCCCCTCCCCCCCTCCCTACCCCTAACTATCTATCTATCTATCTATCTATATATATATATATGCGTGTGTGTATATATACATATTCATATTAGATATACATATATGTATATACACACACACGCCAATAATGAAAGGAGCGACAGACGCCCTCACTGCACCAGCACGGGCGGGGGCGTCGTCGAGGCGAGCAGTGTGGGCGGCGGAGACAAGGGCCGCCCGCGCTGCTTTCGATTCTGTCCAAGGGGGGGAGGGCGCCGCTAGATGATGGTGGGGGAGGAGGGAAGGGGGGAAGGGGGAGAGGGGCGGCGGAAATGGCAGCGTAGCAAGGTAGGTTTTATATTTAAATAAACGTCAACTGAAGTGTTAGAAACGGAAGATTTGCATATGCATACAATAATTTGTTGCCTTTTCTTACGTTAATTTGTGCTCTCTGTCTCTCATTACCTTTTTTGTTCGTCTCTCTGTTTGTATCTGCCACTCTCTCTCTCTCTCTTCTCTCTCTCTCTCTAACAGACCCTCCCTTCCCCTTTCCCCCTTCCCTTCCCCCTCCCCCCCTCCCATACATCTCAGGGCGTGAATCCTCGCCACATTTCCCGAGCGCGACGACGGAGCGAGGGATGCCAGCCCCATGAGGCGTTTTTTCCGCGAAGGAGCCCTGAGTCTCGGCCCATTAATGCTCTTCAGGGTCGGGGGCTCCTCGCGTCCTCTGCCCCGCTTGCTGTTCGCCAAAGCATGTGGTAATGGGCATGCGCTGGGCCGGTTTCTGGTATGCGCAGAGTAGGAAAATTGCCATTGCGTGTCGCTGGTGCAAGGGTTACCGTATCAGGTTTCACGGAAAAGTTGAGCATGTCCATTCATATCTGTTGAGTAATGCACAGGTAATCATATCTATACGTGTGGATTCTCTCGTGTATCTAACTATCTATCTATCTATCTATCTATCTATCTATCTATCTATCTATATATATATATATATATATATATATATAGATAGATAGATATGTGTATGTGTGTGTGTGTGTGTGTGTGTGTGTGTGTATGTGTGTGTGTGTGTGTGTGTGTGTGTGTGTGTGTGTGTGTGTGTGTGTGTGTGTATGTGTGTGTGTATGTATGTTTATATATATATATATATATATATATATATATATATATATATATATATATACTTACACACACACCAACACATATATATATATATATATATATATATGTTTATGTATATAATATAGCATATATATACACATAAACATATACATGTGTGTATAAATATATATATATATATATATATATATATATATATATATATATATATATATATAAATATATATATATATATATATATATATATATATATATATATATATATATATATATATACATATATATATATATATATATATATATATATATATTATATATATATATATATATATATATATATATATATATATATATATATATATATATATATATATATATATACATGTACACATATATATGTATATATAACACATTTACTCCAGACCACGAAACCCACGGCACCGCGGTACAGATTCCACTCCTTCCCTCCTCTGCTCCTCATGGCCAGCGGCGAGGACTCGACCCGCGGCCAGGTAGGGCGGGTTTAAAGCCAGTCTTCCCCTTAGGGTTGAATGGCCAGCGAGGCTCGAGATTCCTCTGCTCAGGCTTTGGGGAAAGATGATGCAATTGCGCCTCGCTTCCGGTGTCGCTAGTGGGGGACAGACGTAAAAAAAATTATCTGAGCGTAATCACTGCCATTGTCACTGGATAGATTGCAGAAGAGTTATGCGAACGAATGTAATTTTATGCGAACGAGTGTAATTTTATACGAACGAATGTAATCATTTTGGAGGAATCTAAGGCGATGTTGTTGAGATGTTGAATGGGTTGTATGATGTTTAAGAATCTTAATTTAAGAGTCTTCTAGGTTTGAGGCAACGAGCTTAAAGGACATTTTAAGAATTTGAAATAAAGTATGTAGATAAATAAATGAGAAAATGAAATAAAAATGAAATGTATGAATGAAATAAAAAATGAGGAATAAAGATAAAGAAATAAGTTTTTTAAAAATATATTTTAAAAATAAAAAGTAAAGATAAATCGAAACATTCAAATGTAAATGAAATGAAATAAAACGAAAATGAAACATAAAAAATAGAGAAAAAAAAAACAGAAAAAATCCTCATGTAGCCACTCCTTACAACGAAGAAAATAAGAAATAAAAAAAGCAAGAAACAAGGAACTGTAAAACTTCCTGCGTCCGAAAGAGAGATGTTTTGTCCTCGTTATGTTGTTATGTTGATTATTTCTTATTAAGAAATTACGATACTGACTCTGGATGTCTGGTAAAGTAAGGTTGTTGAATGTGTAACTTTCGAATTGGTCTTGTTGGCAGTATTATTGTTGTTGTTATCGTTGCTTTATGAATAGTATCACTAGGATTAGTATCATTTTCATTAGCATTACTGTTATTATCATTATGCCCATGAATGCTGCAAGAGCCTTGTTATTATTGTCATCTTATTTGTTTCCTTTAATTATATTCTTCTTATTATTCAAGGTTGCAATTCAGAAAAAAAAATCTAGTATTTCAGAAACTAAGATTAAGTCATCTTGATAACATGAAAAACCGTAAAAAAGAGATCACAAGAAACCAGTACAGTGGTGCCGCCTACTTCCTCAGGCGCCATGGCCAGATCTGGCAACATCGGTGGCGAAATTTCTGTGACGTCATGCGCTGCGTCCGGAAAAGGGAAATAATTAAAAAACTGTGGCTTATGCCCTCCGAGTGCATGGCTTAAAAGAGAGGAAGGGGGCATAGGGAGGGAGCATAGGGAGGGAGGGAGCATAAGCAGGGAGGGAGGGTGAGGGAGAGGAAAGAGGAACAGATAGGAAGAGAGATAAAGCAAGAACGAAAGAAAAAAGAGAGAGAATGAGAGCGAGAGAGAGAAAGAAAGACAGCAGTAACGAGGGCGAAAGACGGAAGCAGAGAAAGAGACAGAGAGACACAGACAAAGAGGCGGAGACAAAGGGAATAAAAGTGAGAACACGACCGAGATAAATACCCTCGAGCCAAACAGAAAACGCGAGAGACGCACGGGCATGTATCTCCATATGATTGCTCTTTCTTTATCCAAAATCTCAAAACTGAACATCCTCCGCCCTTCTTTAACATCTCAAATAGACTTTCCCCTTTCCATAATTAAAAAGAAAAAAAAGAAAAAGAAAAAGAAAAAGAAGAAAAAAGAAAGAAAGAAAGAAAGAAAAAGAATATATATACTACAAATATGTTCTACGTCTATAACATGACGCCACAGAACACGAGGCTCGGTGATTCATCGGCATCAAAAAGTGAAAATCATGTCACATTCTGAGAAGTGTGGAGATGAAGAAGAAAGTTTGCCAGTGCTATTTTGTGGTAGATTAAGAATGTGTAAATATATGTAGGATATGTACAAAAATATATAAACACAAACACGACGCATTTGTGGGATATATCTAAGCTTGTTTTTGTCTATATGTATAATAAAGTGTTGTTCTCTCTCTCCCTCTCTCTCTCTCTCTCTCTCTCTCTCTCTCTCTCTCTCTCTCTCTCTCTCTCTCTCTCTCTCTCTCTCTCTCTCTCTCTCTCTCTCTCTCTCATCTGTCTCTCACTCCCTCTATCTATCTCTTTATTTGTGTGCATTTGTATCATCGGGCCCGTTTTCCCTTTTCCTTTACCACGAAGTAACTCATAACGACGATTTTTTCCTCCATTGAATAACGTCCTTTACAGCAACCACCCGCTTGGCACGCGCGAGGACGACCCAACGTTTGGAGACTGGGGGGGTGGTCTATCTCCTCGATGGCAGGATGCTCAACGCAAGACTTAATTTCTAATTGTTGTATCCTGTCTGTATTTCTTAGGATCTGTGAAGGAGCAATATCCCTTTGGTTTCCTTTCATCCTGTGTGACGCGGGATCTGCTCTGAAGGATATCTCGTAACGGGCCTTCAGGGAGAGAGAGAGATAGGTAGATAAATAGATAAATTAAGGAAGGGAAGGGAAGGAAGAAAGGAAGGAAGGAGAGAGAGAGAGAGAGAGAGAGAGAGAGAGAGAGAGAGAGAGAGAGAGAGAGAGAGAGAGAGAGAGAGAGAGAGAGAGAGAGAGAGAGAGAGAGAGAGGAAAAAATGACAGACGCAAGAATCTAGGATAATTTCGAGAAACCGCGCTAATTTTAGACATCTGACAATTCTTCATAGATTGATGGCATTCACGACCCCGCGGACTCCTCAACCCCACGTCAAGCGCTGTTCACTCCTCGAAATGAGTGCGAGCCGGCCGTCAAGCCACCCTCGGGAGCGGCTGCGCCAAGCAGGCGATTTCGTCATGGGGTTATCACGCAGTTGCCGGCGACCGATTTTACGTGATTATTATTATTGAGATCCTTTCGGAGGCAAGATTTTTTTGTTTGTTTCACTGCGCGGGAGAATTTGAGGGAAATAGATTAAGTGACCATGAACGGGCTTCGAATTAAGATGCACTTGATATCATTTAAATGATTTACTATTAGACTAGCTGGCATCTCGCACGAGCTAGCGGGCACCCGTAATGCAATATATACTCAACCTTCC